TAACAACAACAAATGTTTCGATATGATACTCGCTTCGATGGCTCTTTACAGTTTTCGATAGTCTCGACTATTTACATATTTTCTCCGCGTGTCCCATTTTACTTCGCTACTTCCCGCGTGAACTAAATTTTCTTAAGAGCCGCTGAGAGAAGCGTAGGCGGGAGCTTAATCCCGCCACGGTTGTAGCCTCGCCCCCTCGCCCAGGGCGCGAACGTTCAGCTCAGTTCTCGCAAGAAGAGTCATGATTTTGAACGAGAACTCTAAACCCAACCCCACCTCCCAAGGGTCACATGACTGTCTCTTGCGTCCTAGAGCCGAGTTCTTTCCTGATCTCTTATTGGCTGTTAACTAGACTACAGTGTGTCGGAAGGTCCATGCCGAAAGTAAACCCTTCTACTATATGTGGGCGGAAGCATGTCTCAACCTAGCATTCGCCCTTTAGCGGAAGTTCGTCACGTCGCAGTTGCCTCCGTACAGCGGATGTGTGTCGCCCCTTAGGTGACACTGGGAAGTGCTTGCAGCCTCTGCCGCTGCTTTCTGGTAGAAGCACTATGGAGGGAGAGAGGAAGAACAACAGCAAGCGGTGGTATTTTACTCGAGAACAGTTGGAAAATAGCCCGTCCCGTCGTTTCGGCCTGGACTCAGATAAAGAACTTTCTAATCGCCAGCAGGCGGCCAATCTGCTTCAGGACATGGGGCAGCGTCTTAACGTGTATCCTTGCGGCCTAGGCCTTCGGCCTTGGAGTCGGTCCCGCCATGCTCCGGTGTCTAGGCCTCAGACTCTGTCCGGAACAGAAGTGGGAAGAGGGTGGTTAGGGGATGGCTATCTAGGTGGGAGATCCTATGATATGGGGCTGACTGAAATTGTTTGTGCGCTAAGGGAACGAGGCGGAGTTAATTTCCCGCTCGCTCTCCTGTGCAGTCAACATTGCTGGGAATTCGTATCCTTCCTGGCATTGTGTTTTAACTAACCTTTCTTAGTCTCTCTTAATTTGTTTTGACCTTATGCTCTGATAACTTTGGGATTCTGCTTTTTGCTATGCTCTAAGCGTCTGGTAGCTGTTTCACAGTTGATAACCTTCCCCGGAACTTAGTGTATAGAGTTTTGGGAAGTTTGGAATCTGACGGTCTGATAAAGGGTGCCCTAGAAGTTAATGCCTTAGCATCTTAAGTTCAAATTTCGGCCCTCCAGTTTACTAGCTAAATGACTTGTCGAATTACTGATTTTTAATCTACAATGGGATGTCATTTCTTTTGATTCGTACGCTTTTGATTCCCTGCTCTGTGTACTCAGACAATGAAATAGCAGTTATTAGTATTGTAATAGAATTTCAGAGAAAGGAAGGATGTCTGTTTAAGTTACTTATAGTGTTAACTTAAAAAAAATTTTTTTTTCAACAATAAAGTAATTTGTGTTGTCTCCCCCACCCCTGATATATTTTGTCAAAAAATATGCTCTTTTTGTGGCTGAAAAAACTAAGACAGTATTTAGGTTCTTTCTACTCTGCATATAAAAATTATTCTTGTGCTTAAGAATGCAGTTTCCATTTAAATAGTGGTGTTGACAGTAATGCTTAAGATTGTGCTTATCTGAAAAGAGATGTCTGTATTATTGTAAACACCCAATTTGCTGCCTAATTATTCAGTCAGTGCTAAATTTTTTGGTTGTAATTGTTTCAGAACCTTCTTAAAATGCTCCCCTTTTTGTGTGTTGTATTTAAGATTGTTCCATCATGGGCCAGTATTCTGATATCGTTAGATAAAGAGCGTTTAATTTTTTTTTTTTTTTGATTGAATGTATAGTTCACAGTTCCACTTATTTCTGATCCCAGGGATCATCATGTGAGAAGGCTTGGTTGCCGGAAAGTAGAGGAAAAGTTAATTGCTGGAGTTTAGAAGGTGAGAGAGATAGTGGACAGTTACCCAGGGGCCAGGTCAGAGAGGGCCTCAAGCTAATTATTGATTCACCCTCTAATTGGCAAGTGGTGACACATTTAGATTGTGTATGGTTTTGTATATCTCATCTTGATCTTGTTGTTAGGTGCTGTTGAATCAATTCTAACTCATAGTGACCCTGTGCAGGATTTCCCAGGAACAGCTAATGGGTTTGAACTGTCTGTCTTTTGGTTAGCAGTCCAGTGGCAAAGCCTAGCACGTCTTCATGTTGTTGTTGTTAAGTGTCGTCAAGTTGGTTCGGACCCATAGCGACCCTGCCTAGGGTATCCAAGAAGCTACTGGTGAGCTTGAACCACCGAGCTTGTAGTTCAAACGGCTTCTCAATCTGGCGCATTAACTCACTGTGCCACACCAGGACTCCAGCACATCTCTTGTAGACTTCCTAAAAAGTTTGTTTGCTTATTCATTCAGCACATTTATTATTTTGTACATATTTTGTGTAAAGGCATTGTGTTAAGTGACTATCAGCAATTCATAATTTGAGGAAAGAAAATTATCTGCTCTTTAATTTGCAGAGGTAAGTGTAATTTTCATTTAGGGATCTCTGTGAATCGGAACCGACTTGTTGACAGCACTTAACAACAAGGTCTTGAGGAGCCCTGGTAACGAAGTGGGTTATGAGTTAGGTTACTAACTGCAAGGTCAGCATTTTGAATATACCAGTTGCTCTGCAGGGGAAAGATGAGACTTTCTGCTCCTGTAAAAATTTGCAGCCTTGCGAAGAGGGTCATTGTGAATTGGAACCGACTCCACAGCATGTCACCACCACCAAGGGGCATGGTTAAAGGGTCTTTTTTAAGAGGAGATTGTTGTTAAGTGCTGTGGAGTCAGTTTCAACTCATAACTAACTCTGTGTGAGGTTTCCAGGGCTTCACATATTTTTTGGGCGCAGAAAGCCTCATCTTTCTCCCGTGAGGTGGCTGGTGGGCTCGAACCACCAATCTGGTTCACAGTCCAGTGCTTATCCTATGGAGTGTTTTAACCAGCCCTTTGTCAATTTTTGGGACTTATACTGCGTGTTTGCCTGTTTGGGGCCTTAACCTGGAACATTTTAGCTCACAATTGACTATCAACACTGCTATAGTATACATGCATCGATTCTACATGATTCAGTCCTTTACCCAGTTTCATCGAACAGTAAGTATAATTTTTTTATATGGTATCTTTTTGTGGTTGATTCCAACTTCCTTTTTTCTTGGTGGTTGGTCTTTTTTACTGAACTTGGATTGAAGGTAAAGTTACGGTTGATCACATTCATTATGTGTCACATTACTGTTTTAAATCCATTCTTTGAGTTTTCCAATGAAGTATCTAGTTGTAGGTTTAGTACAGCCTAGTAAATGGATTCTCTAATAAATAAAACATTTAAACATAACCTTTTTGGATTGGGGAGTAACATTAAAGGGGAAATCATGCTTAATATAAGTATAGATTTTTGAAATGGTAAATAATACGGGCATAGGGAAACATGAATGAAAAATCTTTTAACACAAGTACAATTAGTGATTGGCTGTAGCGGGAAGCTACACTGTGTGATAATAACTGGGAAAATGACTTTTCAGGAAAAAGATAAAGGGATTTTTTTTTTCCCAGACAGAAATTAAATAGTGCTATTTTCAGTTTTGCTACTTGAAATGATCATATTTAACATTATTGTAAATGACTTGGAAGCGAGTGCATAGTGATATTCCAGTTGAAGTTAAGACTATATTTGGTTAATAAAATTCCAAGCTAATAAGAATAAACTGGATGAGTATTTCATGTTCAAGTAGTTCATTATGGGTAATGTTTATGAGAAAAAATGGTTCTGACCTAATATGGGTTCTGAGTTGTCTCATGCCATAGTAACAGAGTCTGTGAAGTTAGATACTTGTTGTTAAGTACCGTGGAGTTGGAAGGGTTTCCAAGGCTGTAAACCTTTATGGGAGCAGAAAGCCTCATCTTTCTCCCGTGGAACAGCTGGTAGTTTCGAACTGCTGACCTTGAGGTTAGCAGCCAGATTCGTAACCACTACGCTACCAGAGCTCCTTTGCTCCTGTAGTTAGGTATTGGTAAAGTTAGTATTTGGGGTAAACAGCCCAGGAAACCTTGGAATTTGTGGATAACATATTTGTGATTTTCGCTAGTATCCAGTCAGCATGGCTTTCTCAATACCTTCAGCCCTGCCCTGCCTCTGAAGAAACATTCCTTATTCATCTGTTTTTAAAATATTTTTGGTGAAAGTTTACACTAGTAAGGTGGATTCCCATTTGACAATTTCCCAGCAAATTGTTCATTGTCCTTAGCAACATTTTCCGTAATGTATCAACATTTTCTTTAATTATGTTCTAGTTGTTCCATTTCTAGTACTCTAGTTTTGTTTGCCTTATCTTCTCATCTTCAGAGTAAATTTTGACGTTTTAGTCTCATACCGATGTAATATCTGTTTTCTGTGCTACACTACTCATACTGCTCTAAGAGAGAGAAGCATTTCTGTACCTAGTTTAAGGTACCGGACTTTGCCAAAACGGAAGATGGTGAATTGAGACAGAAATTTGTAGACTTCATAGCTTGCTTGCCAATTTTGAAGGTTTTCTACAGTTTTTCCCTCTTACTATGAGTCCTGGTTTTGTGGCTGTGTAGCATAGCACTGAACTGCTAACCACCAGGTTAAACCCATTAGTTGTTCCTCAGAAACCCTGTATAAGGAGGGTTGCTTTGAGTTGGAACTGACTTGATGGCATTTAGCAGCAGCAACAACTGCTATGATAAAAACTGAAATCTGGAATGAAATCCCAAATCAATGTCTACTGTGTATATAACTTTTCGTTTTATATATATATTCAACTCAACAGCAGCAGAAAACTCATTTTTATGTTTATACAAAGTATCTTCAGTAAACTTGCTGAGTAGTGAATGATTTGGTAATTATCCAATATAAAAAACCCATTGCCGTTGAGTCAGTTCCATCTCGTGGCAAACCCATATGATACAGAATAGAACTGCTTAATAGGATTTTCTCCCCTCCCCCCCCACTTTTTTATTGTGAATTGAGTGAAGGTTTACAGAGCAGATCATCAGTTTTACATTCAACAAGTCATATATTTTGCAATCATTACATGATTGCAATCCTCTCCCTCTACCATCAGTTGACAGTATTTACCTCTGTTCACTTTATTGCATTCATCCCTTTGTCTCCTGCTGCCTGAATCTTTACTCTGCTAACCTAATCTCCCTTTTGTATATTACCTGTCCTGTGTCACCCAGGTTGTGTCTACTGTCTAGACTGTGAGTGTGTGTCTCCCTCACCCATAACCATTATATATAGTTTCTTTTACCAAGAAAACCTATTTTTAACTTTTTACAACATTGGTCCCATTGTTATTTGCCCTTTTATGATTGATGAATTTCATTCAGTATAATGTCCTCCGAGCTCAACCATGTTGTGAAGTGTTTCACAGATTCATCATTATTCGTCAACGGTTTGTTGTATTTTTCCATTGTGTGTATGTACCCGAGTTTGTTTAGCTGTTCTTCTGTTGATGGGCATTTAGACTGTCTCCATCTTTTTTTTGTGGATTGAGTGAAAGTTTACAGGGCATATCATCATTGAGTGAAAGTTTACAGGGCACATCATCAATTTCACATTCAACAATTCATATAACTTGTTTCATTACATTGATTATAATCCCCTCCATGTACCATCAGTTAAAAGTATTTCTCTCTA